ATATATATATATATATATATATATATATATATATAGTAAATGATACAGAAGTAGCATCACTATAAAAATGGCAATTCACTGTGCTTTTGAAAGGGTATTAGTTATATTATAATATTATATCATGTAATATTATTTATATTATTGTTTACATTTCAGTTTTGACTTGTAAACAATTTCTCTTCACAACATACAATATAAATATCAATAGCGATTCAAAAGCTTGGTGTACTTTTTTATTAATAAGTCTATTTAGCAATGATGCATAAAATTGCTCAAAAGTGAGAGTGGAGAGAAAATATTACAAAAGATTTCTATTTCAAATAAGTGCTGTTCTGTTGAATTTTCTATAGAATCCTGAAAAATGTTTCCATGGTTTCCACAAATATATTAAGCAGCACAACTATTTTCAACATTGATAATAATAAGATCTGTTTCTGGAGCGTCAAATCAGCATATTAGAATGATTTCTGAAGGATCAGGTGACATTTATGACTGAAATAATGGCTTTGCCATCAGGAATTTATTGAAATATATTTAAATAGTTATTTAAAATTGTAGTAATATTTCACAATGCTGTTTTACCTTTTTAATCAAATGGAGTCTTGGTGAGAATAAGAGGCTTTAAATAAATAAATACATAAAGTTATTGACCACAAAAAGTTTAACATTTGATGACCTCCTTCAGAACTGTCCCCTCCAGCTTTTAAAAAAAGAAGACACCCTTGACACTAATTGTGGGTTCTTAGTCACATAGTGTGTACTTGAAGCCCAGTTTTCTAGACTAGCGCACTTTAATCATTTTTATAAAAGTCTAATCACTTCAGTTCACAGTTAATGCCGCAAAAGTGCTTTGAGAACACTGTCATCCCAAAAGCAGCATTTTCGCCTGGTGTTACTGCAGGAAATCTGTGGTGGTCTTTGTTTAGAACTCCCTTTGTACCTAAACGCACACTAATGAATTATTCAGTTACATTTTAGAGATTTACCATAATGGTTTGATGTGAAGTGGCTTTTCATTGTTCTCCGTCCATTTTTTCCCTCTTTATTTTGTAAGAATTCTAGGAATCGTATGAATAGCTTTGCATATTTGCAGTATGCTTTTCCATATAGAGCAAAGGAGGATTTATACATACTGTAATAATGCTGCCTATAAAGATACCTTGTTTTAGTCAAAGTTGCATTGGGCTAAATGAGTAGTGTTTTCATACTACATGTACTTTTAGGTTTTCAGTTTCCATTTAAATTTTAGTGTTTTAGTTTTTTTTTTTTTTTTGGTAGTAATTTTGTTACGTTTTTTGTCATTTTTAATATTGCTATTTAGCTGAAATTAATTTTTATTTCAATTTTAGTTTTAGTCATTTTGGCACTTATTATATTTCACTTATTGGCCGAAGCAACATCTTTCATTTCAATTTTAATTTTTATCTAATATTTTATTTTATATTAGTAACTGATGAAATCCTTGCATGATAAGGATGCTAACTTGGATAGCTACCTATGTAGACAGTAGTAAACAAGGTATCGAAACCTAAAGAGAGCTAAAGCCTCTGGATTTTGTAGAGGGGAACATAAGACTGACCGTGTCACCTCTGCTATCATTTTTT